TTTTTGAACAAATCGGTTAAATGACATCAGCAAACTGGTTACGTCAATTATTCAATGACTCACTCGTATGAATCAAATTTTTTTTAGCAAATCGGTTAAATGACATCAGCAAACTGGTTACGTCAATTATTCAATGACTCACTCGTATGAATCAGTTTTTGAACAAATCGGTTAAATGACATCAGCAAACTGGTTACGTCAATTATTCAATGACTCACTCGTATGAATCAAATTTTTTTGAACAAATCGGTTAAATGACATCAGCAAACTGGTTAAGTAAATTATTCAATGACTCACTCGTATGAATCAAAGTTTTTTTAGCAAATCGGTTAAATGACATCAGCAAACTGGTTAAATCAATTATTCAATGACTCACTCGTATGAATAATTTTTTTTTTAACAAATCGGTTAAATGACATCAGCAAACTGGTTAAGTAAATTATTCAATGACTCACTCGTATGAATCCGAGTTTTTGAACAAATCGGTTAAATGACATCAGCAAACTGGTTACGTCAATTATTCAATGACTCACTCGTATGAATAAAATTTTTTTGAACAAATCGGTTAAATGACATCAGAAAACTTGTTTTGTGTGTTTTATAGAGGGCTTGGCTAGTCCGACCAATAAGAGACATTTTACTACTGCTCTTCCTTTACTAAACAAACATGCTATTGAAATGTCTACATTACAAAACTGATCCAAGATAATGTAAAAAACATTTAGACACAGGTTTAAGGGTTAACTGCGCCCCCTAGCTATGAACCATTGAAATTCTGAAAATGATGTAACAAAGCTTTGTGTACTGAAATCATGTGACATTAGCAGTTGAATACGCAATCTGAACTACTACAAAACAAAAGAATTGCAAAGGTGTCGAAGCTTAACGAACGGTACTCCGAAGGCGCCCATCACTACCTATAGTGCCTAATGAATCAAATATCTTGCATGTTCACATGAAAAATAAGGGAAGTAATTCCAAATGAAACAGAATATTCAACAGCTGGAAGAAACTGCTACCTATGCAGCTGTTCTCTGTACCTCATATGCTATTTAACACAATCATGCCAACTAAACACTACACTGGTTGATCTGATCACAGATAGGGTTGCAGGAATGAGGTCTCCTCTCTAACTCAATAGTGCTGCGCTAACAACCTTGTGCTGAAACGAAAGAACTTACATCATCAAAAAAGCTCACCAAAGGCTCTTCTTCCTATGACAGCTCAAAAAGTTTTGCGGTATCAAAGAATGAAAGGCTTCAGTTCTATTAAAAGTGTATTAACTTTTTCAATCAAACTGTGGAATGGCAACTCCACAGATCAGCAGAGGAAGTTGGAGGACAGCATTGTGCTCCCTGCCTCAAAAAGCATTGACTACGATCTCAAAGCAAGCAGTGAAGGCCTGACATTTCAGGATTCTACATACAGTAATACCTTCCACAACGGCACTTACTGTAAGAATATCCCAAATCATAATTCTTCCACTCACACTGTAAAAAGTGGTATACTGCAGTTGTTACTTTAAAGAACTACTTATACTTAATTTAAACTATAAAACTAGTTTTGTTTGATATAAATAATGCATTTAGGTTGATTCAGTGATGTTAGATAATGTTATTGATGTTTACTTGTTACCTTTTTTAGGTTACCATTTCAGCGCACATTTATGGACAAATTATGTATTTTGTGTGCACTCTTAAAGGAATAGTTACACAAAAATAAAAATTTTCTGAAAATGTACTCACCCTCAAGATATCCAAGATGTAGATGAGTTTTTTTCTTCACATGAACATATTTGGGAAAATGTATCACTAAATATGGATGCTCTGCAGTGAATGGGTGCCGTCAGAATGAGAGTCCAAACAGCTGATAAAAACATCACAATAATCCACAAGTAATCCACAGCACTCCAGTCCATCAGTTAACATCTGGAGAAGACAAAAGCTGTGTGTTTGTAAGAAACAAATCTATCATTAAGACGTGTTCAACTTCAAATTGTTGTTTCCAGCTAAAATATAAGCCCTCTATCTATAATATTGCTTTCTCCAGTGAAAGCGTTTTAGCCAGAAGTGATGGATTAAAGTTAAAATGCCCTAATGATGGATTTACTTCTTACAAACGCACATCTTTTGTCTTCTCAAGATGTTCACTGATGGACTGGAGTGCTGTGGATTACTTGTGGATTATTGTGATGTTTTTATCAGCTCTCTGGACTCTCATTCTGACGGCACCCATTCACTGCAAAGGATTCATACGTAATGCAAAATTTTTCTAAATCTGTTCTGATGAAGAAACAAACTCATTTACATCTTGGATATTTCAAGGGTGAGTGATTTTTCAGCAAATTTCCATTTTTGGGGAACTGTTCCTTTAGTGCACACAAAATATATTACAGAAATGTGCATTGAAATTGTAACCTAAAAATGGCAATACCTAAATAAACTGGTTTCGTTAAAGTCAAAAACTTTTTTCAGTGGTGCCACAGAAGACATTTTGGGTTCTAAATTTTTAAATTAGAAATGTATTTTTCTAAATTGGAATTTGGGTTCTAAATTTAAAAACAATGGAAAGATTTCATGGATTTTAAAGGTTCTTCATTGAACCATCAAAGCCAATAAGGAACCTTTATTTTTAAGAGTGCACCTGCATCTGTATGAGCACAACCTATATTTAAGCCACAAAGTGCTCCTGTACATCCACTATAATGCCACTCCACAAGGCATTACATTTTAATAAAAGATTATGAAGACAAAACATGTCTTTTCTTTGGAACAACATGCACTAAATAATACAATAAGACCAGAAACAAGCATTAAGAAAATAAATAAATAAGGTCAAAAAACAAATACATTCACATTTCATGTTGACATTATGCCTGTTACGTCTGGCTAAATATAACCCAGCTGTCCAAAACTGAGACATGCTTAAAACAACAGCAAACACACACTGTGAATAATAGAAATGTGCAAAAGAGGTAGCTTTTCTAACAGCCCCTCTGGGCACGACAGGCATGTCAGGACAGCAGTAGGTTTGAGTTTCGGACAGACCCTTTGCCACCTGGGCTCCCCCGTACGGAAACACTCCGGGAATCACAAAACGGAGCAGCGGCTTAGCTCAAAATAAAATGAAAGAGACTAAGTAACCATGGCAATAAGTGATGGATTTGGAATCTCTTTTGGAAGTAAAAATATATCTCAGGGTGTACCTGTGACTGCTGCAAAATCTCTCTCTCTCTCTCTCTCTCTAACCCCTAGTCTCTCAGTCCTTCCACCTCTCAAGTGTGGTGAATCCCACCAGCTATTCAGTCATTTTAAAATAGATCTAAACGATGCCTTCTCTGTCTACTCCTCTGATGCAACACGATGATGAGGATCTCGTCAAAATGCACTCAATGCGTCGGATGCAAGACACTGTGCAGCTCTTCAAAAGGAAAAAAAATCTCCCCCACAAATTTTATTTCTAGGTCAAAAATTCCCATGGGGTTTCGAAACACAGATGAAGTGAAACGCAAATTCAAGCGAGCCTGAGCCACGACAGAGCTCACAGAAAGAGATGAAGGAGAGACAGAGAGAGAGAGAGAGAGAGACACACACAGAGAGAGAGACACAGAGAGAGAGAGAGAGAGAATTTTTTTTAATTTAAATTATTATTAATTATTAATCACACATTAATTTTTAATTAATCACACTAAACCAGTTATTTTTATTTAATAAATTAAATGTATTAAATGTATTAATTGTCATTAATTATTAAATTAAATTAAATTAAATTAAATTGAATTAAAATGATTATTAATTATTAATCACAGATTAATTTTAAATTAATCACACTAAACCAGTGGTTCTCAATGAGATGGTTTTTTAAAGTATTGAAATTATTAAGTATTATTAATTATTTAATTATTAATTAATTAATTATAAATTATTATTAATATATTAAAATTTCCAAATTAAAAAATAAAGTCTAAATTAAATTAACATCTAAATTAAAATTCTAAGAAATGCATAAAATCAAGATGTAAACTAAAATCATATTTCTTTTATTTTCCCTGAATAACTATTGCTTTTACTGAAGAACAGTACAGTTCTGGAATACAATACAGAACATAATTTCCATATTAATTGACCACATTAATAAAAAAAAACAGTTTGAAAACAAGCAGATTTATCATAATTACAGCAGAAATATTGGAAATTAACTTATATAGGCAGGGGCTTCAAATATTGTGTTTGGGGGACATCTGGGGGCCTTCAAGTCATAAAGGTTGAGAACCACTGCGACTAAACCAACATGTGAAACCGACAATATATTTTAGATTTATAACGATTATTTTAATAGAATGAATCATTTATGTTAGTCTTCCAGTTGTGATCTGTTTACCTGCTGAATATGAAGCAGGGTGTGTTGTTGAGCTGTTGGTCAGTCTGATATCTCCGGAAGTCCTCCCAACCGTCTTTAACAGCGGTCAGTGCCAGGATGACACAAATGGGAATGAGAGCCACCTCCGGCTGGAACGCGTTCACCACCGGGACGAAATTCAAGATGGCCAGGCCCACGAAGTAAATGTTGGCCATACGGTGGAACTGCTCGAATAAGTTCATGGGGATGAAAGACCACAGTCTGTATTTGTTGGTTTTGATGGCGTTGCCCTCATACGTGCGGTTCGGCTGCTCACGTTTCTTCAGATCTTCAAAGGGTAAGTTGGAGACCACCGTCCTGACGGGTCTGTCTGGGTTCCAGTGCCTCGTCCAGCCGTGCCGAAGAAGGGTCAGGGGGTTTGTCCAGGTCATGATGTCTTAGCTAAAACAACCCTCCTCTGCATGACACTTAGAGCTTTAATATAAATCCTGAGGGTCCTCTAAACCGAAATTTATAAGAAGCCCTGCACGCTTCTCACATCACCTGTACGAGTGAGACTAAAACAGAAGTACAGAGAGAGAGAGAGAGAGAGAGAGAGAGAAGAGGGTTGAGTCTACACCTGTTTAACTCCCCTGACTGCTCTCTGTGGGAACGAACACCTGTCTGAGGTGAAGGTATGCTGTCAGAGCACTGCATACCACAGATCCAGCGTCTGAATCCAAGATTCAAAGACACAACAACACCACAGCGACCCAATTACATTAATCAAAGCTCTGAGCAGGATATACTCAAGCTCAATGCAGCCGTGCGCAGAAATAACTGTGTATCCTTTTATGTTGACTACAGACACATCGCTCGCAGTCAAAAGCCTGGGCACACTTGACTGAATGTGCTTTCATTACTTAAAACATTTTGTTAGCATCTCATTATGCTGGTTGAGAAAATAAGTGTGCAGATCTGGAATCTATAAGAAACATATATATATATATACGTGTGACCCTGGAGCACAAAACCAGTCATAAGTGTCAATTTTTCAAAATTGAGATTTATACATCATATGAAAGCTGAATAAATAAGCTTTCCATTGATGTATGGTTTGTTAGGATAGGACATTATTTGGTCGAGCGAGAACTATTTGAAAATCTGGAATCTGAGGGTGCAAAAAAATCAAAATATTGAGAAAATCATCTTTAAAGTTGTCCAAATGAAGTCCTTAGCAATGCATATGACTAATGATAATACGTTTTTGATATATTTACGGTAGTAAATTTACAAAATTTCTATATGGAACATGATCTTTACTTAATAAAAGAAAAATCGATCATTTTGACCCATACAATGTATTT